CACACACCCACACACACACCCACACCCACACCCACCCCCGCACCCACACCCACACCGACACCCACACACACCCTCAACAACTGCTTGGTTATGAAATAGACCAATAAAATACACAAATCTATGTTGGAAAAAATGACACATACATAACAGCATCGAGAATGTTGTTCGTATTTGATTTTTTTACCCAGTTCTGTAACAGAAAGTCAATAAAACCTTTCATTTTTCTTTCACAATAAGAACAGCCAAAGTAATCTTTAGAATAACGATAAATTCATGGTAAGTTGTACAGAAAATAACGAAAAACTGTGTTAAGTTTCGTAACAGGGGGATGAAAAGTCGTCGAAGCTGACAACAAATTTTGATAATTCTATTCAAGAACAAACGGACAATAAAATTCAGGATGATTGTATGGAAACAGTTGATATTCTTTCAGAACGTGACAAATGGATTTTGTTAGATGCTCCTCGATGTTCAGAGGAGGAATTACAGGAAGAAACTGCCCGTTATGGTTTAGAGAATGATCCTCAAACAGCTCGCTTTTGTAAATTTGTTGCTGTAGCAACAAACTTTGCTTCATTGAGATTCGCCGAACGAATCCAACTTGTACCTGAGCTCATCGATAGTATTAGACAACTTCTTGAAGAGATTCAACGTGAAATGCAGGAAATGGCTGGAATGGGCACATCACTTGAAGAACTGGTTCATCGTTTAAATTCTCTGGTTCTCACCACTCAGCACAATATGAAAATGATGTTACCCGATCTGAAGAATGCCAAAGACTATTTAGATATCACCGTCGAGGCACTTCAGTCCAATGCTGATGAACCCTTAAACGACCAAGATCGATCAGATATCGAGATCGCTCTGGATGGAATGTGTTTCGGCATCCAAAATTTGCTTCAGTTGTCCCAAAAGTCGGGTGAACAGAGTGAGAAACTGGATCAGGACATCAAAAACCTACAGCAAACGGTCCAAAATAAACGAGTAGTAGTCGAAGGCCGTATCGATTTCGGTGAACACTTTAAGATCGTTAGCCAGGCAATCGCTGCTGTTGGAACTTATACAGCCTCAAATGCTCTCACAGCAAACGGTATGCAGCATCTTGGACGTATTCCTGGTCTCATTCGAGTTGGATCCCTCATCTACCCACCTCTTCGACCTATTCTAATTTCGGTCGTGCTTGGTGGAATCACCGCCAGCACCATCAGCATGTTGGTCAAGCGCTTTTGGCTCAAACACAACTATCGTGCCTTGGAAATTTTAGAAAATCTCTTCGATCATCTCATACGTCTGAATGAAGCAAATGACCGTTTTGGAATGTATATGCGCAATTCACAAACGAGTGCTAACGACGTTCTTGTCAACATTAAAACAGTGCAACGCCAAATCACTTCCTCTAGTCCACGTATACGAAAAATGAACCAAGCGGTATGCCAACGAGCCTCTAAAGCTACATTTAGCATGATCGATAGTATTGAGAAAGTTTTAGCCATCGATATGGCTGACTGGACTTCGTTTTCCGCCCAGCGCATCGCTACAAATGAGAACAAATCACCCTCAAATCAACGTACACTCGCTTTAACATATGAGTTTGATTAAATGACAAGTTTCGACGTAACACACATGCTTTGAGGACGTGGTTGTAGGTGTGTGGGTGCGGGTGTGGGGTGGGTGCGGGTGTGGAATGGGTGTTGGTGTGTGTGTTGGTGTGGGTGTGGTTGTGGGTGTGGGTGTGGGTGTGTGTGTGGGTGTGGGTGTGGGTGTGGGTGTGGGTGTGGGTGTGAGTGTGGGTGTGGGTGTGGGTGTGGGTGTGGGTGTGGTGTGGGTGTGGGTCTGAGTGTGGGTGGGTGTGTGGCTATGGTGTGGAT